AAGCTTAGACTACTCAAGAAGCTGCTGATACAGTTCTACAGAGGAATTATTGAGTTTGTCATTTGCACTTCTATAACTGTCTGGTTTGGTACAGCAACCAAACAAGGCAGGTACAGGCTTCAACTGATAGGACTGCAGAAAAAACAATTGCAACCAGCCTGTCTTCCATTGAGGAAGAAGGTCAGAAGAAGGCTGACCCCTCACATCCAGGACATAAACTATTTCAAGTCCACCCCTTAGGAAGCCGCTATAGGGCATTGCATACTAAAACAACTAGACAGAGACAGTTTTTTTCCCCTTGTGCCATCACAATCAGCTCACACATCCACTGGCAGTTAAAAGGAAGAAACAGCTGCGATCACACACATTGCTCCTAGAAGCACGAAGCCGAAGACAAATTGAGTTGAATGATGTCAATTCATCGTGACTTACTGGACACCTCTATATACTATTGCAATTTTCTTAGTAATAAAATTAAAATGCTTCACTGTTGCTCTTCAGGGTTCTTTTAATTACCAGGGCAGTCTACAGTTAATGGAGTGGGGTTCTCCATCCAAATATTAAGCAGGTCTGATCTCAGTTAGCTTCCCAGCTCAGTTAAGGTCAGTCAATGTGAGAGTTAGTTTTCATATTGATTACAGGATTAGCAGTTCAGAACAAGGAGGAGATGAATACTTTTCAACCTTGACAAAAGAGACAGGTATTCTTCTCTCTGCTCTGAAAAAGTATGAGAAAATGGGTAGGATTTGACAGTAGGAGTGATTGTTAATGAATGATGAATGAATGATTGTTCATTGAATGATGTTGTAAACTTATGTTTCTTACAGTATTAGTTAGAAAGTTTAAATTCTTATTCCTAGTCCTGAGAAAACAGAATGAGATATGAGAGTCAAGTGCTAAAAACTTCAAAATCTGAATACGTGAGAGCAGACTAAAATTCTGAATATTATTTATTCACGGTGTAACTAAAATAATAATTAAACTGATTGATTATACCTATAAGAAACTCTTAACTCATACAACAGTTTATCAGAAATGAAAAATTACAGCTATCCATTTTGGAAACAATTAAAATGGAAATTTAACAAAATCTGGATTCGTTCTAAAGCTAATTAACTTAGCTGAAATATTAAGCTATAGTTAATTGGAAAGATCATGGATTTTATTTAATTAATTGTTGTTCAGATCAAACTGGAAGCCTTGTCCTATCTTTGCTTGTAGCATCAAGGTATGATCGTCTGAAAATTCAATTAGTTTACCCAAAGCTCCACATATTTTTAAGCTGATAAGACTGAATTATAAAAGTTGCAATCTTTTTTTCTCCATTTGACATATTTATATCATAAAAACTTAATTTTAAAAATTGTTCTGATTTTTCAATATTTACTATAAAATGATATTCGCATAATTTGAGCCACATAAAATAATAAAAGTTAATTCTGGCAGCAGCAAAAAAATCCACTAGATACTTTGGAGTGTTGGGTTACAGCATTTGTCACTCGTATTCCAATCCTTTGGTTGACTGTATAAGTGTTGCTGTAAGTAATTGAAAAAGGAACAAATGTATGGCAGAATCCCCAAAGCAAGAAATAATAAGGTTGAGTAAATATTCTTAACTCTAAGCTATTTCCTACCTAGCATAAAATGTCACTCCAACAGATGAATGAGTTCATCAAATTAATGAAAATTTAAAGACATTGGCTGCCTAATGAGCACGCAAAGTGATGTGTCAAGGGTTCTGCACCAGCGCTGACAAAATCAGTTTGATGAAACTATGACAAAAGTAGTGTCGCATGTATCTCATTATAATTTAATTATAGTATTTGAAAACTGTACAGTAAATCCCTTGTGTATGCAGTTATTCTGACAATAATAGTTCAAATTGTTTCCAGAAATGCCTGTTTGTTTCCTTTATCTACATCTACATGGCTATTAAAAGGTATTTAAAAGAAGGAATAAAAGTAGAAGAAAGTAGCAGAAGTAAGAGGGAGTCGTTTGTGAGTTTTTGGAAAGTAGAAAGCAAGATATTTTCTTTAAAACTCTTCCCGTGATATTCTGATATATTTTAAACAGGATTGTAGTACTACACTGGAAAAATATAGTGCTACCACCTTACACATCAGGTAATATAATTTTATCATTTCTTTTAAATTAAATGGAAAATATATTCCCTTGTTTCATAAATCATATTGAATGAAAAAAGGCAATTACAAGAAGTAATGTGACTAAGAAAGACTTTTTGTAGTACCTTTGGGAATTCATCATCATAATCATTTTAGCCATTGTCTATCCACAGCAGGATGAAGGCCTCTTCCTCATGTTTCCAACCAATATGGTTCTGAGCTTTCTTTTGCCAATTGGGCCTACAATACTTGCTGATGTTGATCCATCTTGTTTTAGGTTTCTTTCATAGATGCTTTTTATCAAGTGGGATCCATTCTATGACTGCCTTGGTCCACCTGCCATTTAATGTTGACTGTTCCTATGTCCAAGGTCCAAAGGCAGCCTGATTTAACCCAATGATTCTTAGCACTCTCTGTCTTCAGGCAGATCTTTGAGAATTACAAGGAGATAATTACATATTCTGAAGTATATTTCTGCTTATTTGGGCAAGTTTCTGTTGTGTTGGGTTTGTAATATCTGCTGAGTTCAATACACATAAATGGAGTCATTCTGATGTAAAACGGGTGGAAAATATAGTTACAATGTATTTAAGCTCAATTTTATAAAGTCACCTATTTTAATATAGGTGAGTTCCTGTGAAACTTTTTCATCATTTCACTCTCCTTTCTCTCCATTCTTCAACATCATTTTTACATTTAATTAAAGATGTCTGGAGAGATTGGTAAAAAATATCAAGATGTGATGCACATAAAAAACAAATCAGATTGTTAGTTGTATTGTTGTGGTAATCACCTTAAACTATCTTAACCACATCCTGATATATATGCAATTATTATTTCAAGTCCTTGCTATTAAGAACAAAGTCCATTTGTCCTGCTTTCTCTGCCAATATGACAACTGACCTCTCATGTACATACTTGTTTCCCCCCCACCCATGCACTAAATATACCTGTTATACACATGCTAGGTTTTTTTTGGGGGGGGGTTATTGGTTTTAGAGCTGTTTAGAAGTCATTTTCAATTTTTACTATTATATAACAGGACTCAACTGAGTTGCCAGAGATAGTAGCTAGTGAAATCATATACTGCATTATAAAGGAAGTACTGTATATATCTATACTTGGTGTAATAATTCCTTCCATATACTAATTTAGCTACACTTAGCTAAGAGTACATTATTTACTCTATAATCTTACTATCTATGCTGAATCAAATGGGTGATATATAGAATTTTTTACTGAAGGAATCACTAAGATATTCCAGCAAAATAAGAAAGTAAATTTTGCTTCTTGTTGGGATTTTTTCCATTTCTGATATAAAGGAATTAGTACAATTTTATACAATCAAATTTGGTGCTCTCTAAAGTATATTAGTAACCCAAATTTAATCATAGCTACGGTCTGTGGCCACAAGTTCCTATTAGTAAATGGAAATGCATGGCTATTTTAAAAGCTTCTGTAAAAGGCATGCATTTTCTTATCGTCAAATGCAAAAATATTCAGTATAGATCATTTCAATTAAAATGGATAGTCAGAAATTCAACAGGTACAATTTTTATAATTTTCCTGTATCTGTATCTATATCATTTTTAATTTTACATTGTTGGACAGAAAGTTGCTCTTAAGATGCAGCTTTCAGCACAATTAACAGCCAAATTGTAATACAAATGACGTATCACTGTTATCACTGTTTACACATTGAAATCCTGTATCTTGTTGCTACCAGGCAGCTCTGGCTGCCTAGGGAATACCATCATGAATTTCTTGAATGATTAAGACTAATACGTCCTACCAATTAAGGGTTGGTTTATATTATCCTTTTATGTACCGTAAAAGAGTCTTATTGTTTTTTCTTTAAGATAGTGTAGAATGGAGAGGGGGAGAGGGAGAGGAGGGGAAGGGAGGGAGGGAGATTGAGATTGAGATTGAAGATTCTGCGCCATATTTTAACTGTTCCTAGTAAATGCACTCTTCTGGGAGAGAATTCTGATGTTATTTCCTGAGATCTGTTGCAGTCACTCTTCCAGTTTAGGAGTCACAGCTCCAACTGCTTTTACCATCACTGAGACTACTTTGACCTGTACTTTTCACATGTTCTCCAGTTCCTCCTTCAGGTCCTGGAACTTTTCCAACTTCTAATACTCTTTTTTCCTGATGGTGCTGTTATTTGATACTGCTATGTTTATCACTCCTACTGTCTTCTGGTCTATTACTACAATGTCCAGTTGATTTGCCAGTGCCTGCACCTGTGCATCTGGATATAGAAATCCCACACGATCTTAGCCCTGTTATCCTCTACAACTCACTGTGGACCCCACCTCCTCCATCTGAATTTGGAAGGGTCTAGGCCATATTCTGTGCAGTAGTTCCTATATACAATGCCAACCACTTTGGTGGAGCAGTTCCTGCATGTTACAATCTTACATTAATGTTGAAGTGTCTCTGAAGCCTCTTTTCATAGTCTGCATCTTGGGTCCTCTCAAGCGAGCTAGACCTCTGCTTCTATGGATCTGGAAATTAGTATCTGTTCTTGTGGTGATATGATCAGCGCTTCAATGCTTTTTTTAGCCCATCCCTTTACAGCCAACAGTAGGATTTTAATGTCAGCTACCTGTTGATGGTATATTCCATGCAGGGTAGCATCTTATAATGGCATTTCCTTTGCTTGGTTCTCCTCTTATGTTTTCTGTTTTGGGCATTCTCTTTCGGGCGTCATCTTACTGATATAGTCCTGGATTTTCTGGTTTTATTCAGGGTGGTATCTTTGACCCTCACCAGATCCTGCCAGCCCCCTATACTAGCTGGTGTACAATGTCTGGGTATTGGATTTGTGATGCAAACTGCTGTACATTGTGAGGCGCTTCAAGGTCATCAGCCTCCATGACCTCCTTTAGCCAGCTCACTATACAGGCAGAATATCTGATGCCTGGCAGGGCATAGGTGTTGATGGCATGGATCTTGTTCTTCCCATTAAGCTTCCCCTTTGGAATCTGGCTTATCCTTTGGCGATATTTAGAGGTTGCTGTCTTCCTTGCCTTCACATCCCATGTGTCTGTGAGATACCAAGTTACCTGTGGCTGGTATGTATGTCTGCTATGTGGTAGCTGGTAGTTCCATCCCAACAGTTTTACTTACCTTCCCTATGTCTATTATTATCTTGGCCACATTTCTCCAGTCTGAATAATATACCATTGTCCTCACTGTAGATCCTTTTCAGGTAGATAAGTGAGTCTATGTCTCCTTCACTCTTAGCATGTCATGGCCCAGGCTTAGGACTCAGATTCTAATCTGACATTGAAGAAGAAACTCCAACTGAATCTGCAGTATATCAGCTTAAGGAGAAAACATCCAAAAGGCTGGAGTGTCAGAGGAGGATGAGTAAGGGGAGAGGAGAGCAGAACAGAGAAGGTCTGTTAGGCTCCTTGCCAAGCAAATAAGTAAGTCTTCTGATTAATGACAGCTGGTTGCAATCTTATAAGAATCTGCCCTGCTGGTGCTCATTTGCTGAAAACAATGGCTAACATCCAGCTCATCTGTGACATTTGTGTGTGGATTCTGCTTCTTGGACCGGTGATCTTTGGACTGGATAACAACCTTGACCCAGTTCTAAAATCTTAGTCTGATTCTGAATGATTCTTCAGTGCTATCCTGTTCCCAAAGCAAATCTTGTAGGCATATCTCAGCTTTGTTTATATTGCTGTGTTTGTTTCAGTACAAATTCTTCAGTCTAGTAGTAAACTGATAACCACAAGAAATTGTGTGCGTGTGTATGTGTGTGTGTTTGAAGCCTGCAGCAGCCCAGTATACAGCTTGATATCATCCATGTAGAGGAGGTGGCCGATGGTAGTTTTATTCTTGAAGTTCTATCCATATTCAATCCTTGCAACTATCTGGCTTATCTGAGCAGGTTCAAACCTATGCAGAACAGCAGTGGGAACAGTGTACCACTTTGGTATATATCACCCTTGATGGCCACTTGTGCAAATTGTGTTGAATTGGCTTCCAGTACTAACTTCCACAGTTCCACTGAGTTCTTGAGGAAGTTTCTTAATGTCCTGTTAACTTTGTACAATGCCAAGGAGTCACGGATCCAATCTGGCCTTGAGTCATAGACTTACCTTTAGTCAATCCAGGCTGTGCTCAGACTGGTTTTTTTAGACCATGAATCTTGGGTGACTGTATCTATGAGCAGGTGATGTTTTGAGCCTCTGGTGTTATTTCCACAATACATATTGTTTTTAAAGTTCACAATTAACTTCTAAAGTTTGCTTATCACAAGTCTCAGAGTCATCCAATAATATATATCCAGATAATAGTCAGTCAAGGATCTAAAATGTCTTTCTTCATCCTTTCTTGTCTGATACATTGCAAACAATTTAAAATAAACCACCCTGTCATTCATAATTAAAATTTATACAATTCTTTTTCCTGTGATAGGTGAAAATGTCACCTCAACTTTATTCAATTTTCTATTTACTACAAACATTCATATTTTTCAATGTTTTAAAATGAAACAGCATCAAAGAAATATTTTTTAGAAGAAATGAGTAATGATAATTACTATGAGCAATGTGCTCATAGAAACACCATTTAAAATGAATGTTATTGGAAGAAGTATGCTGTCTTTTGACATCAGTCAAAAAACATTTTTCTTTAATTTGAAAAATAATTCAAACTATTTCTCCTACGAGGTTGACAAGAATTGAAAAAGGAATACAAAAGAAAGACACTGAAATGGACATTACTAAATAGATGGTTATAAGAATCAAATTATCTGAATCCACAAAGTAGTTACAACAACAATGTAAGTATAACCATAATCATCTTGGGGTCATTTTAAACAAATATAGCAAAAGTAAATTATACCTGAGCAGCAGAAAAAGATGATTACGCATGGCCTTAAAATGGCAATGTTTAATGGCCTTAAAATGGCTAAGTTCAAAGTATAGTAAAAGATGATGACACACAGAGGAATCATGTGGATATTTCTGTTTGGATAGAAGAACAGAATCTTGTCCAACCACTAAGTCAGCAGAGCACATACCTTATTGGACTTAATTCATCTATTTGCAAAATCCTTCCCAACAACTCTGATTTTTATTTCATTATATATTTACATATACAGAAACAAAAAAATATTTTAAATCTATATACCTGCTATGTGTTACATAAACATACAAAAATACACCTTTGGTGTAGCCTCATGAATATTCATCTATCTCAATGTCTAGTGTTACTTTTACCTTCTTTATGTAATTGGCAAACAATTACAATGTTTAGTATCATATTTAAAACCACTATTCAAAACTTTTTTAATGCTATTATAAGTTTTTCTTTTGCAACGTTTTGTGCATAAAAATAAAAGCACTAGATTTTTATTGTTGCTGCCCTTTTTGTTTTGTTCCACTTTGCAAAGACCTTTTGGGACACTAAGCCTGCATTTACCATAATACGGATTAAACTGCCTTTGTCCTACTGCACTGTGTTTGTTAGCAGGTTAGTCTTTTTACATTCTTCACAGCCTGCCTGCAGCTTACCCTTTAGGCCTCACAAAATACTTCTGTGGATTTACAAAAATGCCAGAGTGGTCTTGGGGTTAATTGGAAGAAAAGTGAAGCCTTTAACACATTGACTCATTAAACATTTAGCCCACTAAAATCCACTATGCTTGGCAAAGAAAAAAGCTCTGTGAAGATTTTAACAATAATAAAGTAGCAACGTAGCTGAAAATAATGACTATGGTTTGTTCTACAAAATGGAAAAGGCTTAATTTATCTGCAACAAAAATGATTGGAAGACACAAAGAAACATTCCTATCTCAACTCTCTAGCACCTATCTCAATGTCCTGGAGCAAGAAAAAGATTTTAACACCTTGTTAACCAAAGATACTAAACAAAATGCTTAGAGCAATGTTTTATAAGTCAATCATGTAATTTGTAGGTATCAGAGAACAGTGTGGATCTTCTTGATTCAACCTCTCTCAAGGATAGGAAGAACTTATTGCGATAACTTGTTAACTAAGGATTTTTTAAAAAGTAGTATTTTGTTTTATTATTCTTTATTTAATATACACTTAATTGTAAAGCAGATGTTTTATATTAAGTAATGTTAGCATTGTTTGGCATGCTCCTAAATGTATTAATTTAAAATATTTTTAAAATACAGAAATAATCCAACAATTTTGCAAAATAGAATTGTATCTTTATTTGTTAAACTACCATTTTCAGGTTAAGCTGTGAAAGGGAAAATACCATCACCTCTTGCCACACAAAACAGAAGTTGGGGAGAGGGACAGACTGCTTCATAGCTCCAGACCTGCATTAGAAGATTAGATGGTGTTTGTGCAAAATGCAGATAACAAAAGCAAGAGTGAAGAAAATTAAAGAGACAGCTAAATTCCAGCAACAAAATGGTTAATGAATGTGAATCATTGTACCTCTTATTCTAAGAGTCTGCTATAGTGTGAACAGCGCAAACATCAGACAAGGTAAGATTACTGACCATTATCTCCTTAATTTTCTCCGCTTTCCCTCACATTCCCTTTTGCTATCAACATACTATTTCCAAAGCTTCACTTCTGCTAAGAAGTAAACTTTCCATAATCCGTCTATTATTGAACCTTTAATTGGATTGGGAGCAGGGTGGTGTATAAAATAGGCTCTATTCAGTCAAAAGGGCTGTAGTTTTAGGGACTCAAAGGGAAAAAGCTTTGTGAAAGAAAATCCACAGGGAATCAAGGATTAAAAGGTGGCTCTACTGAACTCATCAGCTCCACGACACATAATGAATTGTTTCCTTAAACAGGTAACTTTCTAAATAAATGGACTCTGAAATATAACTGGTATATCAAAACACATAAAAATAAACTGAAAATAAAATTGGTTTAGCAACTAATATTCCTGTTGCTAATCCCAACTTTTAACAATAATGGAGCCTCTTACCCTTTTAAATAAACACTTAGGCCACAGTTACCAGGACTTGGAGACAAAATTGTAAATGCTACAATTAAATTATCACATTTATACACAAATGTCTTTCTGAAGTCAATTTAAAGCTTATATCCACAGCAGAGATTTCAAACTAAACATTCATAGAAGATCAGACAGAAGATCAGAAGAACATAATGTTCGATTTTTGCTTTGCAGATTTTGTCATGAAAAATTAACTATATAGTAGTATACAAAAATTACTGTTAAATTTTAAATGATTCAGTGAAGTTCAAATAAATGTAGAGACTGTAAGAATAGGTTATAAGTGCCAATTCTTGTACAGTCTTCTCAAGTCTTAACCAGTTTTCTATAATGGAATAATATTTGACAAATGGCAGTCCTTTTACATGACATGCAGAAGTTACATTGAAAATCTATCTTCATTTTAAAATCAATCAAATATTGCAAATCAAATAATGGTTGTTCAATTAAGAAGTGGGGAAAAAAACATTTAGGAAGAAAGGAAAGGAAAGACAATGATAAGCTACTTCTAAACTGCTGACAAGAAAGCAAACATGTCCATTGAACTTGACTAACATTCATAGTTTTCTATGAAAAAGTAAAACAAAAGCAGAACAAATGTTTCAGAAAAAAACCATTTATCATATTCTCTAAAGTATAACTTATTTGCTCTTCACATACTTTCAGCATGCCTAAATAGATTTAAATCCATTTAGGTATTACCTTATTTAGAATTATTTTACTGGATGTTATTCTATGAGTTCTTTTGCCACAAATGTGTCATTATAAAAAGATTGTAATTCTGATAATGAATACCATGAAGGTGTCCAAGCTACAGAGATGAGAATGCAAATCCATAATTCTGCAGTACTGTGACACACAATGTAATCTATGCTTCATCTAAATCCTATTAATACAGTCTGGTTAAACAAAAGTGCACTGTGTCATGTACTATTGGAATTATTCAGACACCTTCCATTAACTGTTGGGGGGGCGGGATGAGAAGCTTGGACTTTAGTAACAGGGGATACTTCCTTAAGCAGCAGCGACATGAACTGGACTTTTCCCTGAACAGGTGATCAATCCTATATATCGGACTGGTATATTGGCCCATTCTCTGCATAGTATTGCTTCAATTAATTTGTATTTTGGGGCTGTTTTTGCATGAATTCCTCACTTCACAACATGCCAGTTGGGTTAAGGACTTTGATTTGGTTATTCTAAAATAAAAATATTTTCTGTTTCAGCCACTTGTATATTTAGGATTATTGTTATCCTGCATGATCCATACTTGCTTCAGTTGCTTACAGGTTTAGGAGCATTGCTGTGCTACATGATTCATATTTGCTACTGTAGAGTTGTGCTGATTCAATCCAGAATTAATTCTTCCTTAAATAATTGCAGAACTCTCTGGATCCTGAGTTGCAATGGTTATTTATTTTGCCAAACTTCACTATTGGTATGAGTACTTTTACAGGGATATAATCTGTGCATGTGTGTTTTTTCTCCTCTGAACAAAACATTTCTCATTAATGCCAAAGAATTCTCATGTCATCTGTCCACAGAATTTTGATCCTCCCGAATCATTAGGTAATCTTTGGCAAACTTGAGACAGGCTACAGTATCTTTTCCTCCTTGATATTTTCCCATGCACACCCCTCTTGTTCAATACTTTCTTGTTTGAACTCATAAACGTTGAAGCTGACAATTCAAGTGTGGCCTACAAACTCTTTGCCATTACTCTGTGTTTCTTTGCAACCCTCAGGAAGACTCCATTATAAAATGGTGACAAAAACCTGCTGTGTCTAATGTAAGGAATTATAAAGGAGAGTATTTGTAGCTCAGGGTTGACATGAGGGGTCCTTGGTGCTCTCTGAGCTTTCTTGTTTTCTTGCAGACATTTCACTACCCAAATTAGGTAACATCATCAGTGCTATGAATTATTATTTTTTCCTTGAGGATCTCTCAAACTCACACATAATTATCATCTCAAATACCGGAATATTTAACAGAATGCTCATTCCATGGCTTCACCTCTTTCAACAAAGACTAGTTTTAATGAAGGCATGACATAGTACACTATTTTGGATATTGTTTGTTTAACTGAAATCTCTTTATCTATTACTAAATCAAATTATAATCCCACTGTAGGTCACAGTATTACAGGTCAGAAATAAAGCTAAAGATTTTTTAGTTATTTTTGTCAGCATTATAGAACAGTTTCCTGATATCTTAATTTACTTGAGTCTGTGAAAATGCCATCTTCACTCTAATGCAGGTATTAAAGTTAATGCTTTGATTCCATAGCATGTTTATAATTTAGTGTTACTTCATTATGTTAGGATATTACTTGCGGCAATTCCACAAGTTGTTATGCTACAACATGGGTGAGTGATTTTTCATTCCCAATGGTCACATGAAGCATTGGTGAATGATAATTAGCGTATGCATACATATAAAACCTACACAAGAGTTATTCCTAATAAAATGAAGAAAGGCAGATTTTTCCTACGTCAGCAGGGCAGAGAAACCTTTGAAAAGTCAGCATTATTCTGATGACAACAAATGTGAGCCTACATGTCAGAGGCTCATTGCTGGTTGGATAAGGAAGAACTTCCTGCATTCCAACAGCACAATCACATTCATCTTATTCTATTAAACACCTATTTGGCAAATTGGGTAGAGCACAATAAACTGAGGGATAGAATCAGTGAGATTAAAGATTTAATTCCAGTTCCATCATTTTTGCAGATATATTTGATTTTGTTCTTCAGTAGTCACTCCTGAGGCCCGCCCACAAATGGAAGACCTTCACTTAGTCTCTTCAGCTGTGACTGAGAATCTACATAGACATTTAGTCTCTTTAGCATAAAAATATATAGTACCCCAGACAAGATTGAAAAAATTGAAAAACAAAGCATTACAAATGGGCATTGTCTGTTTACCACAACTGTATACCAGATATTATCCCTATTCTTGCCATTGCTCATGGGCTACTTAATGTCCATTTAAATTAGTCAAATAGGCAGTCAATATCTGTATCCATAAAACATTCAAGCCAAAGTTCCAAATTTATTCCCAAAAATAACCACAAGGGAGAAAAATGAGTATCATCTTTGAATCTGAATCAGCATGTTTATTTTAGGATTTGAAAAATAACTAGCAGCATACAAAATTATACTATAGATTATTACAATAGTAATAATGACATTACTGCAATGATTATGACAGTGATCTAATGTAAGTATGTTTCAGAATTCCCAACAATCCCACTGTTGGGCACATACCAGTCATTGTATTCTGCATTTGTTGGCTCATAATGTTTAGTCATGATATCTTTTAAAGGAAAAAAAAAGATGGTATTTACCAATTCTGGATCTCTAAGATCTAAACAATTGCATTTGCATCATGACATTTCAAATGGTTGCTTTACTAATGCCTTCCCAGTTTTAGTTGTGAAATTAGTCTTTTGTGGACACAGGCAATCCTCAACTTACAAAAATTCATTTAGTGCAGAATCATTCATCAGTTACCTTCATTCGTGAGTTTGTTTAGTGATCGTTCGAAATAACAATGGCACTGAGAAAAGTGACTTATGACCATTTTTCATACTTATGACCATTGCAGCATTCCCATGATCACATGATCAAATTTCAGCTACTTGGCAATTGACTCATATTTATGACAGTTGCAGTGTCCCTGTGTCATGCAATCACCTTTTGTGACCTTTTGACAAGCAGACATTCAGGGATTCAGGTTTGCTTAACAACCATGTTACTAACTTAACAACTGCAGTGATTCACCAAACCACTGTGGTAAGAAAGATTGTAAAGTGGGGCAAAATTCACTTAACAACTGTCTCGCTTAGCAACAGAAACTATGGGCTCAATTGTAGTTGCAAGTTGATGACTTGTTATCCAACCAAACCATAAGCATTTTTCTTGGTTTTAGCTGTGGGATTCAGGCACTTATTCAGAATCCTGCCATTCAGGTCTCCTACAGTGCTGAAAGATTTCACCAGATGTGCCCAGTCTGTGCTTATCTATCTCTGGCTGTAAGGAATCCATGTATATCTGTGTTTAGACAGCTGATTCTTTGCAGATTTCCCCAAACCCTACTTACTTTGAGATGTCAGCACCATCATGTCTTTCCTTTGCTCTTTGAAAAAAATCTTATCTCCATCTTTCCTAGCCCAATCATTTCATTGGATTATTCTTAACTCTACCGCAGCAAGATCGTACTTACCACCAGAAAGAACAACACTCCCTATCCTCTCACCAGATAAGTTCATCTTTGCCAGCATTCTGTGGTATGAGATATTTAGAAGATAGTATACAACAAGAAGTACTGCTGTAGTTCTATTTGCAAAACTCAGCATGACTGGAATTGGCTCCTCACAGTTGGCTGCCCAAAATATATCAACGTTCTTTATAAATTTTCTTTCCTTATTATGTTTTGCTATTCTCTGGCTTGATCTGTAGCAATCTACAGCAGAGTTTTTCATATATGTTTCCCTCACCAGTCATCTAGCTACATGGATGTCTCTGTGCCAATAATTTTATTAAAAAGTAGATAATATACAGTATCTCACTGGAGAAAAGTCTAATGCTGGGAAAGATTGAGGGAAAAAGAAGAAGGGGACGACAGAGAATGAGTGGAGTCACTGAAGCAGTAGGCGTGATCTTAAATGGACTCCGGGGAATGGTAGAGGACAGGAAGGCCTGGAGGAACATTGTCCATGGGATCGCGATGGGTCAGACATAACTTTGTGACTAACAACAACAAAGATAATATATATTGATTTGGACTTTCTTGTTTCTATTATATAAGTGAAAATGTACATATATCACTAAGTAATACTATTAATAATTGCTTTAAAACATCTGAATTGTACTAAATTTTTGTATTGGTCTCAAACTTAAGATTGTTCAGTATCATATTCTAACAACCCTGCAGGACACAATAGGTAATTCTGGCCTGTACAGGGAGTCAACGATACAAGACTAGTTCATAAAGTTCTCTCATGCTTGCTGAACAGATAGTTTTGCTATCACTTATTATTTGCCTCTAAATACAAAATATAATACACCAAATTCTGCAACAGAATAGGCTATGACATAAGGGATATGATCTTTCAGTACTGGGTCAAGCTTCGATTTTATAAGTATACTATTTCTCTTCATAACAAAGGTAGTACCATTACTATGTTTCACATCCTTTTATACATTCAGTTTTAAGTACATTCCCTAATGTATTTACTGAATGCAATCTTTGAATTGCTGCTATACAGGTGATTATACATTCTTGAAAAGCAATACTGTACTTTTGAGAAGGAATCTGTAACTAGATAGTCAAGTCTGCATTTCAAAAATTTTACTATTCAATACAATCCTTTAAATGCACTATATTTCAGAAGTATTTCAAAATTAAGGTAGCTCACCCTCCTCCCACTCCCCATTAGTACATAGTGACAGTGAACATATAAATCCTACATTGTGAAACAATGGTGATAAAACAATTGGTTTGCTTGTTTCTTTGGAAAACTTATATGCTACCAACTTCCTTAATATTCTGGGGCGAAATGAGATAGAAATAATAATTAAATCATAAGTAAAACAAAACTGTATAAAAATCTGGGTGAATATGTGTTTAATTCCTTTAATTCCTTTCTGAATTATATGAAATATGGATAGGATTTCATTGACAATTTGTTTCATAATGTGGGCCCTGGTGGGGAAAACATAATTAGTCCTGATATAAAATGTATCTATGATAGGACATGCAATGTAAGCTGCCATTGTAAGTTCTAAGGGTGTGAAGTAGACTATATAGGAGCAGGAAGTCCCATATGTACCTTGCCTCAACAATATAAGAATTTATTCTATTCACCATTGTGAACACCATGCATTGGTCTTGCAGCTGTTCCTATGGGTGTACTCCCATCCTGAAACCCAGACAATATAATCATAAGTCCATCTTGTCTGTTAATTCTAATTTCTTGACCCAATCCTTTATATATCTTGAACAGATTCAGACATCCAATTCCAAGCTTTCAGGAAAAAAGACTCAAATCTGCAAAAGATGCTCCACAAAAGCTTCATAAAATGTATTAATCAATAATTTTCATGGGATACCACAGAATAAACATGATCATTTAGCAGAAGTTTCCCAATATCACTTTCTGATAGTATCTGGAAAAAATGAATTCACTACAAAGTTAAAAACACAATTACCGTAGCTAATAATTTGATAAGAGCCGCAGTGGCGCAGTGGTTAGAGTGCAGTACTACAGATACTTCTGCTGATCACTGGTTGCCAGCAGTTTGGCAGATCGAATCTCACCAGGCTCAAGGTTGACTCAGACTTTCATCATTCTGAGGTCTGTAAAATGAGAACCCAGATTGTTGGGGGCAATATGCTGTCTCTGTAAAACTGCTTAGAAAGGGCTGTAAAGCACTGTGAAGCAGTATATAAGTCTGAGTTCTATTGCTATTGCTAATACCCAAACCAATTCTAGCCACAGTTTCCCCAATCTGCTAACAAGATACTATGGACACTGGTATCAAAAGCCACTGAGATATTCAGTTTCATTCAGATAGCATGCCCTCATTGTTTCTGCTTACATTCCATTTGTCATGTGACTATGGCTATCTTCATATCAAATCTGGATCTAAATCCAGGCTAAAAAGGATCAAGATTTATTTTATTACAATGCTCTCAGAGATGCAGGAGTGTTTTTTTTAACAGCTTAGTTTAACATGAAATATTGGACATCAGCCAATAACTGTTAAAACCAACCATGTATAAAGATGGTTTCTTAAGCAACAGTCTCATCACTGTCTGCTTAAGGTAGTGGATTCCTGCAAGGAGGATTTATGTACTGGTTGCTCATGAGTAAGAAAAATTTTGAGACTTCTTATAAACAATGGTAGGAAAGAATGCAGCATCCAAGTATCTGCACTGATTAAAAAACTTTATCTACTTCCTCAAGAAAAAAAAAATCTGAATCATATAGCTATTACAGACTATTTAATAGGTAGCCTAGATACCGTATTGCTTAAAACAATTACATTGTGCCCAACACAAATCTAGCAAATTTCTTCATAAAGAATTGCAGAAGCATTTTCCACTGATAAATTCAAGCGCATACGATTACAGAATCTATTCTTATTCAGTAAAGTTAAGTATATATTATCATTGAACTGGAGCTTTCCAAGAGTGGCAAAAACATTAAAATGCCATTCCACAATGCTACAAGCGCAAATGCTGATTTATGCAACCTGTTTTAAAACAACTGACCATTTTATAGAAAGATAATATGCTTGCTGTGTTTTTTAGTTTCTATTCAATTTTAACTTTAGCTTGTCCTTACAGAATATTACTTATTTTCAGTGAGTTTATGTTGCTTTATGCTTAGTTTTATTTATTATATATTTTAACATTTTAATATAGCAGCAAGAATGGGAGAAAAAAATACATGGCTTACTACAAACACTCTAAAGCAAAATATACTTCTGAATAAGTTTTTTATATATGTCTGTTTAGAATGAAAGTTCAGCTTCTACCTCTGTATTTTCTTGCTCATCTTCTCACTACAAACAGCAAGTAAATTTCCCTTTTAAATATACAGGCTGAAGTAAACCCTGTTTCTGAAAGTAAGATTTATGGAACATTAACAAAACCATGAACATTCAACTGACTTTAAATATATCCAGACGCACAGTTTGCGTTCTCAGTTCTCATGACTCTAGAAGAACTACAAATAGAAATACTCATTTTTAAATCTTTCAAATGTTTATATCAATATATCAATTCAATCTATCACTTTAATGATTTACCTCTACTAATATGGCATAAAACTCTGAACAGAAAATTTTGCTTATTCCATTTATTCTATTTTGCTTTTTCACTACCTTGCAAGAATTCAGTACAGTAATCCTTGCATGCAAACAATAAAACATAGAAGAACAAAAAGAATGTTTCCTATGAGACTGAAATAAACAATGTTATGTACAATATGACATTTGTACTGTGCAGGAATCAGGAAACAGAAGAGAAATACAGAAGTACATATAATTCATGATATTTAAACTAGATTGTTTGACAGAAGTAAGAAACGAAGAGGGAAGCTTAAAAATATCTCAGCAATTTTACATTCACAACCTTGTAGAAGAAAAATCATTTTTTTAAAAAAATTGCCCTGTACTAGTAACACTTAAATTTAATGATGGAGATGATCTTAGTCCCAATACACTTGATACCTCTATTTGCAACACCTGAAAGGTAAATGAGTTTCCAAACTGTGGACATAATTAAATTAACCATTCAACACTTATGTTTTCTATTGCAGAAATCACACTGTTGTTAGAGAAGGCCGATGTCACAGTACAAATTACAGACACAAAAAGTGATCACACAGTAGTCCTTGGCTTACATGTGAACACAATTTGGGCACTTGGCAACTGGCTTGCATCTACAACTAGTTGAAGTGTCCCAAGGTCACGTGCCACAATTTGCAACCTTTTTTGTGGATTTCCAGCAAAAGGATTTCCATTGGAAAAGCTGAATTCATTTAACAACCATGTGATTCACTGTAAAAATTGTGGTAAAATTAGTTCCAACTTGAATTACAATGGAAATTCCAAACCCAATTATGGTTGTAAGCAGTGGTGAAATCCAAATTTTTTTACTACTGGTTCTGTGGGCGTGGCTTGGTGGGTGTGGTGTGGCTTGGTGTGGCTTGGTGGGCGTGGCTTGGTGGGCATGGCAGGGGGGAAGGATACTGCAAAATCTCCATTCCCACCCCACTCCAGGGGAAGGATATTGCAAAATCTCCATTCCCACCCCACTCTGGAGCCAGCCAGAGGTGGTATTTGCCGGTTCTCCGAACTGCTCAAAATTTCCGCTACCGGTTCTCCAGAACCTGTCAGAACCTGCTGGATTTCACCCCTGGTTGTAAGCTGATAACTTCCTGTACCTGCTGATGTGGCAAATTCCATCTGTAATGGTACAACCTGAACAAGCCTTCTTATGGCCTACTTACATGTCTCGGGTATTTACCAGTATATATCCATGCTATATATCAAGTTTCACTAAAAAGCTATATTGACTTTTGACTATTGACTTATGACCATTTATGACCATTAAAAAAATGATTTACAACTAGTCCTGCACTTACAACTGTCACAGGTCCCCATGGTCATGTGATCAAAATCCAGGTCCTTGGCAACTATTTACAATGATTGTAACATCCCAGGGTTATATGATCGCTATTTGTGACCTTCCCAATTAACTTTTGACACGCAAAGTGAATGGAGGAAGCTAGATTTGCTAAACAGTCATGATGATTCATTTAATGACCATGGAAAAAAAGACCAGAAAATTAGGTGTGATTCACTTAATGACTACTTCACTTAGCAACAGAAGTTCCAGTCCCAACTGTGGTTGAAAATCAAAGAGTAACAGTAACAGCTTTGTGTAATTAGCACATTTCCAGCATTTTTTAAACCTGAAATTAACCTAGTCTGGACATGCATCATATTTAGAATTTAGTTTGAAGAAGGTCCAAGTCTGGGTTTGTCTTACAGCTAGTCCACAACATGTGACTGTAATTGAGCTTGGAATTATGATAGTAAAACATTGAGGTCATTAAGCAATTCACTATGTGACCATCTCCTGCTTTACAACCTTTCTTGCAGCAGTTATTAAGCAAATGCCATGGTCATTAAGGGAACACATTAAGTGGATCCATCTTCTCCAATGTGTGTGGGTCTTTTTTTTTTTTTAAAGAAGCTGAAGTAAACGCTAGAAATCAGCAAAAACCTTGAAAACAGGAACTGGTTGCGAGCACCCAAAATAAAATTATGTGACCGAGAGGGAGGGGAATTTGCGGTCAATGAGGTTGTACACCTTTTGGGGAGTGGAGTCTGTTGTAAATTCAAACTGATGCTAAGTGACTAGTTATTTAGTGAGGACAACCTATATTTGTCAGAGTCTAGTTCCTTTGTCACTATGTCATAAAGTATACATCGAACAGTATACATCATGATTACATTTTTTCCTTATCCTTATCTTTTCACAAGTCAAGGTAGAAATGAAATTGGAAAATTGTTTTCTATTGCTAGATATCTGGCAAGCAACTTGAAATGTAGCACCTAAAATAAGAATGAACACCAAAATGAGTGTTCGGCAAATTAAAGATGGAATTATTTAGAACAAGTTAAAGGAAGGAGGACTTGAGCTTCCTACTGAATGTAGAAAGTCATAATGAGAAATATTTGTGATACTCTATTGCTACCATTTAAATTGAGGGCATCTTTGTTTATGCACCAAGTTCCATTCCATGTTTATCTACACAAAGTTGCTAATAATTTTAGACATTTGCTAAAAATTAGCTAAAAATAAATTTAGGGAATAATTGTTTACACTGAATCTTTACCAATATACACATGAGTCCTTTCTGTTGTTCTAAAACCCCAAATCAAGACATGAGACAGCAATGAAAACCTAACTGTCAATCATAGTTTCAATGTAAAAGTCTTCCTAATGGGTTAGGAAGAGTTTCTAAGACTCACTTCTCTAAAATATATCAAATATCCCAACTATCAAGTCAGATTGCAGTAAGAAGATAAGATACTCAGGGAATGGGAACAGATATACTCAGAGGAAATAAAATTTGGAGGGCATAAATCAGATAGATTCCAAATAATTGATGGGATACAGAGACTTAAACAATGGAAGAATTATAGGAAAACAAGAATGCATAGCACAGAGATGACAGAATAGACACTAGGAGGAGAAAAGATTGATCTATTTAAACCTGCTGTACTTTTCATTATGAATAATCAATATATATATTAATCAATGAATATATAAATGTTCTCATTTTTAGAAATCACTGACCATTACCAAGGGACATGGTAATTCAAAAAGTTGACAAAAATTAAATCTTCAAGTGTATAAAACTACAAAACTGCGGTGGACCACTAGATTGTAGATCTGTATCAGGAAACTAAGCTTTCATACCTTGTGATAAACCATAGTTGGTTCACTAAAACGTAACTTGATTATTAAGGCAGACAGAGTGATAAAACATTACTTGCAAACAATAGGGGCTTAGATAGAAGCCCAAAATTAAGAGACTTGCGGGATCCTAAATTGGAT